GGTACAAGCAAGCATTACCTCTTTCAAGCATCGAAAATGATCGTGCTAAGATTATGTGGGACATACCGATACACTTAGACAAAAGACCAAGCAACAATGCCATTAAGCCTGATATGCTGATAATTAACAAAGTAGGAAAAAAGGTCAGTTTGATAGAGGGGACTATATGTGCACCTGGATGTATTGCCAAGAGAGAGAAAGAAAAACAAGACAAGTATTCTGAAATGAGAAAGTCACTGAAACGGTTAAATCGTGGATACGAAATAGATCAAATCAATGTTGTATTTGACTTTCTAGGCTGTTACAGCAAGCAATTGGAGTGTCATATCAAGAGACTATGTGAAGGAGAGAAGGAGGCAAAATTAGTAATCGAGCAATGTCAAAAATGGGTACTCAGCCAAAACTGCGAGATTGTTAAAACTTTTTATGAAAGAAAATAGAATAACAAAAATAGTCTGCCTAGGCATTAGCCAGCAGTATAGTGGACACAACAAAAAGCAACAGAAACATTTTGGCAATAATAATAATAATAATGGAAGACGAGCCTGGGATTCTATATTAATGAAAGCGAAGAGATGTTACTACAAGAGGTGGTGAATGAAGATATTATGTCTGAAAATGAGAATCCCAAAACTGTTAAAGAGAAACTACGCAGAACACGAGAGGAGAAATATTACAAGTCACTACACTCGGCATTCTTAAGGGAAACAGAAGAAGTAAGGGACGACGATAACAGTTGGCTATGGGTTAAGAAAGGGTATTTGAAGAAAGAAACAGAAGGGCTGATCATGGCGGCACAAGGTCAAGCAATTAGGACGAATTGGATACGACATAATTGTGACAAAGAAGACATTTCGCCGTCGTTTAGGTTATGTGGTGAAAGAGATGAGACTATCAGCCATATTGTATCAGAATGTAAAGAGTTGGCTCAGAACGATTATAAAAAAGCAAGGCATGACAAAGTTGCTGCTATCCTTCACTGGCAGATGTGCCAAAAATATGGATTTTCCACCACTGCAAAGAGCTACGAACATTTCGTAGATAAAGAAATGGCGGTCTTAGAAAACGAAAAGATCAAACTATTATGGGACTTTTCCATTCAAACAGAAATAAGAATTGACCATAACAAGCCTGATCTAATCCTACTGGATAAGAAAGGAAGAGCATGCTATATTATTGATGTGGCATGTCCTTTTGAGACAAGAGTTGAAAAGAAGGAGAAGGAAAAGTTTGAGCACTATACAGATATGAAGTATGAACTTTTGAAGGTTTGGAACAGAGAAACAACAAAAGTATACATAATACCAATTGTCATTGGTGCGCTAGGAATAGTCCCGAAGAATGTTGCAAAGTATCTTGAAAAGATCGACTTTAAACCTGGTTTAGATCCTCTGCAAAAAGCTTGTTTGTTGAGCACTGCTAGAATAATGAGAAAAGTTTTGGATTACAGCAAATAGGACGAAATAGAGAGCTGGAAAAGAAAGACTGGTTTGCATGGAAGACTAAAGATCTATTATCTTAAGCCACGGGAGGTGGCCTGATCATAGACAAAACACTGGTATACCATCAAGACCATGAGAAGAGTTGAATAATAATAATAATAATAATAACATGTCCTGGGTTGGACGCTAAACTACACCCGGTTGTGGAGTTTTGACGTGGGACAATGAAATTACCCTTTGTCACAACTACTTCCATGTAACCTTTGGGCAAGGTGTAGCACCTGTCAGCCCACTCCGAGACCTTGAAATACCGGGTTGGCGCCCGGCGGGGCTAAGTCTGTCTTATGGGTAGGGGGGACCCTTTAGTCTTGATTGGCAACCCCCCTAGTGATGGTGTCACGATAAAAATACAGGTGGTTGTGTCACCTTATCACCACAACCCTCTATATGAGTGAAATGTCTCAAAGAAACAATTCAAACAACGGCGTAAACGAGAGTGGAACCTTTGGTGAAGCTGCCACGCCCGATAGGGGTCGATCGTCATCAAGCTACTGCGGATCGTAGGAAGAGAGGCCATTGGACAAAAGAATTGAACAGACTAGCGATGAAATGTTATTTGAAAAGTGATCCCAGCAAGAGAGGTTACAGAAAGAGAATGCTTGAAATATGGAATGAAATAGGAGTGTTTGAAACAACAGAACAGCAACTAGCAGGTCAAGCCTTAGATATTAAGAAAAAAGGATGGCTATCGCAATGTTATGACCGGGCAGAACGGACAACAGAAACAGACGTGTCTCTAGTGCATATTCCAATTCTCTAATCTTCGAACAATCACGGTTTTCCAACTTATTGATAAACGTGACATGTCATCACATGACGAGCACAAGCAATACGTTATTAACTAGCATTGCCTATGACACCATTAGAAAACTCATGATTCTACAGATGTGCCTTCG